CGGCCTCCCAGTGCCGCGGGGCTGTGTGCCGCGGGGGGGCGGCCGGTCGGTGGGGGGGGGGGGGGGGGGGGGGGGGGGGGGGGGGGGGGGTGTGCTCATTAATTTATCTGCTCATGTTTGATTGAGGAGTCTAATCAACGAGTGTAGCATATTCTGGACAGAGGAAATGCAAATTATCTCCTCTCAAAAACAAACATTTAAAATGTGCATTCAACTACACTCACTGATTCTTAAAGTTTCAAATGACTGAAAAACATGAAAAGAACCTAAGAAACAGTTTGACAACATGTAATGTGACTCAACAACGTAAAATTAACTTAATGTACTTTTCGTTCAACCTTTATTTATACAGGTTAATCCCACTGAGCCTCAGAGAGTGATGACAACAGTGGATAACAATAGACAATCATAAAGGATGCATACAAAGTATTATTATTATTTTAATAAATGAAAATAAAAGGGTATTTAAAAGGATAATTAAAAGGAAAAGTAGCGAAAAAACAGCTCGATTGTAAAGCAGTGTAGAAACTAAAAACAGGAACATGTCTGCATTGGTTCTTGCCAGGAACTTAACAGATGTTTGAAGCCACTTAGAGAGGTCAAGAGCTTCAGATCTTTTTGCAAGATGTTCCAGGAAACAGGAGCAGAGTAGGAGAAGGCCCTTTGCCTAGTTCAGTCCTCACTGAGGGAACACTGCAGGTAACTTAAAACTTCTGTCAGGGAACAGAACCTTTGGTCAAAGGTTATGGATGTTTTCATTATTGTGGCCGAGAACATTTCCCCCTCTGAACTGAGAGCAAGAAGTCCAAAACAAGCTGAAACTGTCTCCCAAAAGGCCAAAACACTATCTTATCTTTGCCCATGAACCGTATGTTCTTATCTTTGCCCATGAACCGTATGTTTGGGTAAACGGAGAGGGCTGTGTAAGAAGACTGCAGCTGGCTTCCAGGACACCCCCTTGACTCTGTGAACTCGGCTGAGAGGAGGATAAAAGCGAGCAGATAACGCGGCTCAAGGCTTTTTGTGTGACCGTTTTCATGCATATACATCTACGTATGTGATACATGTATATTTATGTAACCACTCGTGAACTCTGACCTTACAAGTATAAATACTGGTTAAAAATCTTGGCCTGCCTTTGAGTGCTGTTCTTTTGGGTAAACAACGTTAGTGAGAGATTTTCTCCAACAACGTCAAATAAATTTAATTTAAACTGGGCTGTAAATGTAAGATTTTAGACATTAGAACAAGTCCAAATTAGCTACATCCATACAGATTTCTACATGTTCTTTTATTATACTTTTATTTTTACAGACACAAAATACCACATATCTAATTGATTTTAGGACCAATCTAAAAGTTAACCTTAACAGTTTTTTTATGGATTCATGGCAAATGTCTCTACAGCAGTCTATTTTCATGTGAATGCATTTATATTTGTACAAAAACCAGAAGAAAAATCTGATCAACCAAAAACAACAGCAAGGGTTACCACTTAAAAATGTTTTTGTTTTCTTTCTTTCTGAAAAAGTTCTTAAAAAACAAAATTCACCCTTTTCATTACCTCTTCTATGAAATAAGTAAACTATATCCATAAAACCTGGAGAGGTGAAAAACTTGGTTGGTAACATTAAATCCAAGATAATAATCTTATCCTTTGTGGTGGATGAAGAAACACCTTATTTATGATGACAAAATTATTTTTTTAAATATATTTTATCACTTCCAGTTGGTACAACACATCATTACTAGATGAAATGTTTTAGGTTTTTAACAATTTGGAAAATAAAAATAACGAATAATCTGCAAACCAGTTTTTTCACACAGATCCAAACCTGGAAAATACTCCAAACTTTTGTGGACATAGCAAGACTGCACAGAAACTGTTTAAAGGACCCCCACCTGTAGTCTGGCCCCATGCCGCTGTAGACCATGCCTATGTGTTTAGTGATGGGCTCCACTTTGTGGACACTCTGTTCATCGTACAGGATGGACTTCTGCTTCTTCTCCGTGGCCAGAACAACTCCATTAGAAGCTGAAAATTATTACACATTCAATAAATATATTTATTTTTAATCAGCTTTGGACTTCTTTCAGCTTTTCCCTCTTCAAGGGTTGCCACAGCAAAATGTCTTATTTATTATTAATACTTCAATAAACAAAACTGTAGCAGACATTATTTTAGTTATACATTTATTCAATCAGCTTCTGGTTAATGAGCTGGATTTTTACCTTTGATGCCCACTGAAGGAGCTCCTGCTGCTACAGCTGCCAGCGCATATTCAATCTGAACCAGTTTACCTGAGGGGCTGAACACAAGCACACAATCATTTCACAAAGAGAAATAAATAATATCTGAGACGAAACTGAAAGTAAACGCAGAGAAACAACTGACTCATCCCGGGTATGCTAGCTGAAAGTTAGCATTTAAATCCGTTTCCTCTCTACCTGCTCAGTCAGTGAAGAGTAAGAAAAACTACTGATCGATATTTAAATAGTTCGTGCTCAGATGGAGCATCCTAAAGTTTGATTGCGAGAGTTAGCCTGCTAGCTACCAGCCGGTTCATTAGACAATGACAGAGCAGCAACATCTCACGCGTCACACCGCCTCTCCACATCTAACTATTAACATTTTTAGCATCCCGTCAATCTCTAACAACTATATAATATAACAAGAATGGATGCATTTTCAATTTTAGATCCAAATTCTCATTTAATTTACCTAAATGTGGTGAGAGAGAAACTGTAACCACGTTCCGCCATCTTGAACTTCTTCTTCTACGCTGCACGGACCATCACGGTCTAAAGACGTTCCTGCCCGAATGGCGCCCCCTATTGAGCCGAGGCTTGAACTACATGCAGAAAACTAAAAACGTTTAGTTCAGAAAAAGATTAAAGTTAACGTTTTTGCGAGGTATAAAGAGCTTGATTCTTATTTGACTTTTTCTTTCCATCGTGATGTATATTTTCCTTGTATAAAAGTTTTCCTAGTGGTTCTAGGTTTCTGCATTAAGCCACGTCTTATCAAATTGATGCTGCTTTAATTTTCTCGCCTCTTTGAAGGCAAAAGTTTTTTTTTTTATCCTTCCAGAAACATAACATATATATTTGTTTTTGAGAGATATTGTAAATGGGAACAAGATTTTAAATGCAATTTTTGTTAAGGCTTAAATGTTGTCACACAAATATTTTATAATACCCTTTAAAAAGTTGTTCTCTTCTCATGTTTTACTCCATATAAACAGTTCTTAAATAAATTTAAAAATAATATTGATATTAAGTGCATCTTTTTATAAGATGTTCCTTCCTCCATCCAAGCATGCATGTTGGATTGTTTTATATTATGATAAAAATAAATTTACGATAACTCTGTTCATTCTTATTATGACCATTTTTGTGCAAGTGCAAATTCTCTGGAAAAATAAAAAGAAGCCTTCAGTTTTCACAAGGTTTTTGATGCAGCATGATGGTGGAGCAGTGATTAGCATTGTTTCACATCAAGATGGTCCTATAGGTTAAAACCCAGGTTGGGGTCTTCCTGTGTGGAGTTTGCATGTTCTATTGTGTTTGGGTGGGTTTTCTCCAGGGACTCCTATTTCCTCCCATACTGTAGTCCTAAACACACATGTTAGTCTGCCTTCAGGCTCAGGCCTCCTTTGAAAAATAGAGTTGTTATCTCAGTGGGATTATGCTGGGTTAAATAAAAAAGTTTAAATATTAAACCTATAATAATACCATCAAACCCTGTTACAACAAGCTAGAAAACTGCAATATATGTTTTTTTTTTGGCTTTGTGCCTTGATTCCTATTTATATGTATGTTTTGTGATGTTATTGTAGTTACCTGTTGACTTACTGTTTTATTTCTTTTGTTTTTGTTGTTGTCCTGTTATCAAATTATACTTTTATTACTGTTTAATTATATAGTTACGTTGTCACTGGGTAAATAGAAACATGTTGGTCCCTTAGTTGTTAAGATATATTTGACTATTAACAGTTAAACGTTTTGCTATATAAAAAGTTTTGTCAGGAATAAAATATAGATCCACTCTAAAATAAGTCAGTATGATTATTTATTTATTTATTACATTATTTATTTAGTTAAATATGTTGTACATTTTACTTTTAAGTTCAAAATGGATTTTTACCATTTTCTAGATTCCCTTTGACGGACCAGTTTTTGAAAACACGCATTTGCATTTGTTCGCCACTAGATGGCAGCCACGTGTTAAACCCAGGAAGGCGAAGAGGTTGTTGTCGCAGCTTAATGACGTAATAAACCTGCGTGACCGTGAGCTGTCTGTTGAGCATGTTGGAGGGAGAGTCGAGTTGAAACAACACGATGAATTTATCCGCGTTGGTCCACAGCCTGAGGTGCTGTTTGTTAAGAACTGAGAGCAGATTTCTGCAGGCATTTGGACTGGATCTGACACCACTGGGTCAGTTTAATAATCCAAACCTTGCTTTATCTGTTTAAAGTCTCATTTTTAACCCCACTGTGTCCTCAGAACAACGTCTGTGTAATTTATTGTTAGCTGTGCCTTTAAATCTGGCTTCTCAGTCAGGTCATGTTTGGCTTGTTTGAGTTTATGATAATGTTGTTGTCTCTGTGTGTAGCTCCAGCTATGGTCGTGAATGGCCCCAGTCTCCTGCCCCAAATCGACCAGGAGCCCCAGTTGGAGGAGCAGAACCAGGACCTGCTGGACAGCATCCTCTGGATGGCCGTACCCAAGAAGAGACGATCCATCGAGGTCAACCGCACCAGGAGGAGATCTGATTCCAAGCTGTTAAAAGTGAAGGTACTCTCAGTGTTTGTGCTTATCTTTAGAGCTGGAGACAAGTTTACACCTGTGTTAAAAAAGAAAGAAAAAACCCACAAAGTTCACTGAAAACTGACTCAATCTATATTAAAAAAAAAAAGTAAATGAATGAAAATCATTCAATTATTTTAAGAATAATCGTTTAAAAAAATAACAAAGCTGGCCCTGACAGAGAGGATGGTACCCTAGAAAAGCTTGAACATAGTTGGACTGCAGGGACAAGTTAAGCTTCTGTAATCAGCATCACCGGTGTCTTCAGTCTTGTAATCAGTCAGTCTGCCTAATGAAAGGAGACGCCCTCCCTGGACGTGTCCACAGGAGGAAAACTGACGACTAATTGAAGAGATGGATAATATGAACGATAATAAAGAGTCCAGAACAACTTCCAAAGAGATTAGAGGTGAACTCCAAGGACAAGGGTCATCAGTGTCGGATCACTTCATCCATCTGTTTGGAAGACAACCTAGGAGAACATCAAATCATTAAAAATAAGACTGGAATTTGGCAAAATGCATATTAAGAAGCGACAAAGCTTCGGGAGAGCAAACAAGAAGTTTTTGATAACAAGTCCCCTCTGTGTTTGCAGACCCAGAAATTAAACATACAAAGAAAAGATTACAGTACCTACAGTGGAGCATGGAGGAGGCTCGGTTCTGTTCTGGTGCTGCTTTGCTGCATCAGAGCCTGTGCAGGGTTCAGTGAAGTCTCAAGACCATCAAGGCATTGTGGAGTAAAATGTGCTGCCCAGTGTCAGAAAGCTTGGTCTCAGGCGTCACTCACAGGTCCTGCAGCAGGTTAATGAATGGCTCAGAACCAAACATTGGACTGAAGTGGCTTCTAAACCTTGATCTAACTCCTGCTGAACATCTGGGAAGGAGCTGAAACATCTGGAAATTCCAGTAATTTCATTTTAAATCTGACCATCTCTATATGTCAAAGATGGCAAAGAAGAAACAATAAACTTCCATCTGATTTTTATTTTTCATATAAAGTCAGTTGCTTCCTTCTTTAAATGTAGATTTTATTTTTCAGAAAACATTTGAGATTCGGACCGAAAAACATTATTAAAAACACAACAGCTTCATGACGGTAATAAACCTCTGTCAGTCCTGATATATTAAAGCTTTAATAGACTTATTTTTACTTATGTTGGCATTATTAAGTATTTAAGTTATTTAAAGTGTTTATGTTACAGATTTGCTGCCACTGAAACTGTTTTGGCCAATTATCATAAAACAAGGACTTTTACTCTTTATTTATTGGACCCAATGGTAAAAATATAAATTAAGCATCTTATCTTTGTTCCTAATGGTTTTACATTTAAAAAAGTGTTTAATTCATTACTGAGCTCAGAATAATTTTATTTAATGTACTTTAAATCATAACACTCATCAAAGAAATAAGATTTTAATCAGGTGCATTTAAAAATAAAACAAATTTTTGGTTTTATTGTTTTCCAAAGCAAACCTGAAACTCTAGTTAAAAATCACAGTTTCTAAATTATGTTTCACATTTCAGGCTTGTATTTTCTGACAATCTGACATATCTATAATAAAAAAAGTTATTTAAGCATTTAGTGCTTTGTAAAATAAAAAAAATAAAAATGTTTTCTTTTTAAACACACTCGCTGTCTGTCTCTCTCGCTGTCTCTCTTTCACTCTCTTGCTCACTCTCTCTTGCTCTCTCGCTGTTTCTCTTGCTCTCTCGCTGTCTCTCTCTTTCACTCTCCCGCTCTTTCTCGCTCTCTCGTTCTCTCTCTCTTCCTCACTCTCGTTCTCTCTCTTGCTCTCTCGTTCTCTCTCACTGTCTTTCACTCTCTTCCTCTCTCTCTCGCTGCCTCTCTTGCTCTCTCTTTCACTCTCTCTCTTTCACTCTCTCTCTTGCTCACTCTCTCTTGCTCTCTCTCTCTTGCTCTCGTTCTCTCTTGCTGTCTCTCTCACTCTCTTGCTCACTCTTGCTCTCTCGCACTCTCTCGCTGTCTCTGTTGTGCTCTCATTCTCTCTTTGTCTCTCTCTCTTGCTCACTCTCTCTTGCTCGCTCTCCTTCTTTCTTGCTCTCTCACGCTCTTGCTCACTCTTTCTCTCTTGCACTCACGCTCTCTCTCTTGCTCACTCTTTGTCTCTCTGTCTCTCTGTGTTCATTTCTCTGGCTCTCAGGTGAACATCGAGCCGTGCCCAGAGTGCGGCCATCTGAAGCAGAAGCACGTCCTGTGTGGGTTCTGTTACGCCAAGGTGTGCAAGGAGACGGGTCTTATTCGGGAGAAGATTAGAGAGATGGAAGGGGGCCCGCTGAGGGCCCCGGCAATGGAGACCGTCGTCCTGTACGAGGGCGAGACGCCGAGCGAGCTGGACAAAGATAAGAGGATTGTGGAGCGGCCGAGGAAGAGGCCCGCCTGGTTCAAATACTGATGCTGGGCCGGTCCAGCTGGGAGAAGTTTTTACACGTGAACGTTTTTCTGTTTTTCAGGTCTGAGGGAACGTCTGTTTTGTCTGAGAGATCAGCAGCTCAGTCTGAACTCAAACCATCAACAAGTTACTAGAATCTAACACCTGCTTCTTATTTCTGCACAGGAAACATAAATTCTGTTTTTTCTAATTCTAGTGTGTCAGAGGAATGTGTAAGAACATTACAAACATTAAGAAAACAAACTGTGGAGTTGTTTTTACTTAATGCTTTATGTCACCGAGTTCCCAAACTGTTTTCACGCTGAACGTTCAGTGACTAATGACCAGAAACTTTGTGTAATTTGAGTTTTCTCTCCTTACATCTTGGCGTGGTTTAGTTGAGTACAGGATGTCTTCGAGTCATTAAACACCACACTGATGTAGGAGATGGCTGCTTGGTTTATAAATGTGTCACCGCACCAACACGCTTTAGAATCAGCTCGGACTCTGGAGTCCAGCATTTCTTCCACCAAGTCAAAGCCTCACACGATGTTTCCACACTCCTGCGAGTGAATTAAGATCAAATCTACGTCAGCTGCAGCAGGGACAGAGCGTCTTTAAAAACCTGTCGGTCCCAAATATTCAGGGTTTCATTCCACTTGATCATGCGAGTAGATTTTAAACAGTCCATCTAAAACATCCTGCAGTGTTTTTTTTTTCTACATCTCATCAGTTCTAGAGTTTAAATTTAGACTCTTGAAAACATCTGAAATTGTTACGACCTTTAATGCATGAAGTCACTGAGGCTCAAGTTCACTTTAATGATCGACGCATTTGGCTCACGTCATGGAAAGAGTTAAAGATCCCTTTCGGATGAAAACCAACCTGCAGAGAGTCTGAGGGGGACGTGCACTAAATCCACAACAATGTGAGAAGACGAGTATAAATAGAACCAGACTGGACCTTTAGGCTTGGATGAACCACCAACACATCAGTGGTTTTTGTTTTTCTGTGAGTTTCAGAAAACTCGAGTCAGTTTAGCCAAATAGTTGCTGATATTTCCACCAGAGCACATCACCATGCACTGTGTGAACAGAGGAGGCTCCTACGTGGTGAACTCCTACAGTGATCTTCAGGAGGACAATCAGTGGAAGAAGGAGAGCTACCACGCCTGCTGGATGGATCTGGTCCTCGAAACAAGACCTCAGTACAGGTGGGGTGTCCCGGTTCTAGAGCTAGATGAGCTGGTAAAACATTGGACAACGTGCCCTTAAATCTGAAGCGTCTGATTGTGGATGTAGCAGAACCCAAATGCAGGTTTGAAGAAAGTGAATGTTATTTATACAGGAATTCAGAAGCGGTGCATGTGACCAGGACCAGGACAACAAGAGTGAGGAAAACTCCGACTGTGGCCATTACTGCGCCGCAACAGGTGTGCTACTTACTGATGGGAAACAGGTGGTATGGGAGGAGCTAGAAACTAATAATGGAGGATATCTTGTAGAACTGATAACAACGTGAAACAATTGCATCGCATAATAGAAAAAAATGGGGTCACGGTGTGGTCAGTGCTGTGGTCTCATAATCCTGAGGCCACAGGTTTGAGTCCATGTTGCATCAGGAAGGGGCATCCAGCGTAAACTGTTAACCCACAGCCTGGAGCTGCCAGGCCGCCTTACATCTTAAAAACATCTGCAAGGATCATATTTCATGAACGTTTCTACCATTTTAGCTCCGCCCCTCCCTCACTTTAGTAGCTCATCAGCATAACAGTGGCAGGTTGACTTCAGCTCCCCATGCTGCTTCTGTCTTTTCCTAAACTACACTGAGACTGGACCCAGCTGGAAACGTGTTGTTGAACTTTAACATTTTTTAATATTCTACAAATTAAAGGCCTAGCATTCCTTGAATCTGGCCTGCTGCCGTTCAGAGTGTTGGATTAAAATCATGTGGAGAAAAAGTTTGAGCCATTTTGGTCAAAATTTGAAAATAATGTCATGAACGCTCTCATTCTCAGGGTTGTTGAGGATGACTCTCAGCTACATTAAACTGTTCTTAAACTGTGGCAGCCATCTTGACACCAGCAGTTAATCAGTTGTAGACATTCATCCAGTTTTTTTAGTTTCTGGGAGTTTCATTAAAATGTGTCCAGTGGTGCATGAGATGTTTTTTGCTGACACACACAAACATTTCCACCTGACTCTTGCCTTCAGCAGAAACATTCAGCATGCATTAAAAGTCCAAACTAAAATCATCGTTAACTCGTGGGTTTGTTGAAAACATCTGGATGAAAACATTCTCCGTGTTTAACGTGTTTCAGGCTGACTCTGTCAGAGACCGACATCCTTCGCAGACAGAGCTACAAGCAGCAGCAGGTGGTCCACTTCATGGTCCTCAGGAGCCCCAGGCAGACTCTGACGTTGGGCAGAGAGAGGGGGGTCCTGACGGAGCACCAGCTCCCCTCTTCCAGCCGGGGGCCACAACGGGCCACAGCTGTCTGCACTGAAGAGTCCAGGGTTCTGAGGAGAACCTCTGAAGCAGACAGACAGGAAGTAGACGTGACACGAAGCCTCTATAAACCAATCGGAGTGAACTTCAGAGCTGTGGGTCTGATGGTCCCTACGAGGGAAGACCCCCACCAGGTTCCAAAGAGGGAGTGAAGCAGCGAGGTGAAAGATCAGAACCACAGACCTGGAAGTGTTAGGCAGCCTTTAACAGATGTGTGTCATCAAGATATTAATAAAAAATGTCACAAATGATGTAATACAACTGTAAATATTGCACCTACTCCATATCATGTCATAAATACATTTTTTAAAATGTTTTTATTTGATCACTTCCAGAAGCGTTAGCTAGTTTCTGTTAAAGACTGCTTTCAGCTGTACACCTTCATGACAGATCTGAGGAACAACAAGTTGAAAATCTGTTCTTTTATTAACAAAACAAGTGTTTGAAAAGGTGCAGATGGTTGCTGTCATCATTACATCTAATGAACTCCAGCACTGTTCCCCCCTGAGTTGAAAACATCAACACCCCAGCACAGACCGGCCCGATGAACTACATGCTACAGATGACATTAAACTCCAAACAACCACAGCTTTCTAGTGTTTTAATCTATTTTTGTATCAGTCACCCTGTTTGACATTATTTTGTACCCATGCAGTCTCAGTAAAGTGCCGACTCCCATCGAACTCCCACCAACCTGCAATAAAGCAGATGTTTCAAGCACAAATCCAAATATCTGGATGTCTTAAAGTTATAAATAACTCTCAGAAAAGTTCATTACTTCAACACATTTTGCAAAAATAAAAAGTTAAAAATGTCCTAACAGTGTCAACAATCAGATATTTCGTTTTATTTTAAACATATTTGCAGTGTCCTCAAACAACTCAGGTCTTTCCACAAAATGATGTTTTGAAGGTGCCTTAACTTTATATCTAAGACAAAATAATAAAATAATATTATTTTGTGCAACTTGAGTTGAGTCTTATTTGATGGAAAGCATCAGTTCTGATGAGTCCTGCTAACTTAGCACAGTTAATTAAAATCTACTGAATCTTACTGAGGCCTCTGATGGTATTATTTTATGATTGTGTTCTTTAAACTCATAAATCACAAGCAATGAAATGTTCTGAACATTAACTGGATAAGATTATCTCTCAGGTGTTTGCATAATATTCCTACTGAATGAAGATACTTAGAGTTGGAAAAAATGAGCAGTTCCATTCCTAGATTACCCAACGCCATTAATAACCAGCTGATCGTTACTTTCATTTTCCTTTGCTTTGTCCTCACTCCCTGTGACTCTGAACTTTCCCGGCTGATACGGCCTCTTCAGCCCTTTTGTGCTTCTGCATCGTGATCTGCAGCTGCCAGTACTGAAGGTAGACCCACATCAGGCTGCCGTTCTTCCTCTTGTCCATGTTGAGCAGATCTGCACAGTGTTTGTCTCTCTTAAAAATGTCCTTCAGGTCCGACTCCAGGTTCAGCTCTGCCACCGTAGGATCCTTGACCACCTTCAGCAGCATGTTCTTCTCCATCTCTAGCCGCTGCTCTCGAGGTTGGATGACGGAGCAGTAGGCGTTCTGTCGCTCCACAAGCATGCCCTCCAGCTCCTTCAGAGCAGCCGTGGCCCTCTGGAACCAGCTGTTTTCTCTCTCCAGGGCGTCATGCAGCGCCGCGCCTGCAGCGCCAGATTTCATCCACCTCTGCTTCTCACCATTTAACGCCTCTTGCTCCTTTTGATAACGACAACAAAGGTTACGGAGGAAAAGTGTCACGTTAAAGTGGCAGTGAGGCAAACAAAAAGGTGAAAGAAAATCCCTGTGAATCGTCACCTTCTCCAGCTGTTTCCGTTCCTGGATGAGATGCTGAGTGTGTGAGACCAGAGCCTGCTGGTAGCCTTTCACCCTCTGCCGCTCCTTCTCCAGTTCCAGCTCTAGTGTGGCCACTGTCCTGCTGCTCTCTGTCAGTGTGTCCCGGTAACGTGCTTCCATCTCGCTTTTTATTGTGGACACATCTTTGTCATACTGAGCTTTAACCCTCTGGATCTCCGTCTGAGATTCTCGAGTCCAGATCCAACCTGGGGGGCAACAGAAGACCAAAAACGAGAATAATAATACGAAACAGGCTCATACTGCTCCAAGGCACAAAGTGAGTGGACTCTTCTTGGCACATCTCATCAGGTGCAACTTACGAAAAGCAGCCAGCCCCAGCATGGGGACCAGCAGAGCGTAGTTCCACTGGTTCCCATCCCCAGCAGCCCCCTCCCTCCCTCCAGGGTCAGGCTGGATGTTCCATCTGGGGGGATCATTCAAATTGTTCATGGAAGCTGCTGTGAACACACACAGACAGTTTTTACTGACCTCTCTTGCATCTCCACATTATCAAGTGTTCTATCAGTTCCAACATTTTTTTTTTTACATTGCACACATTTCAAACTTAATATAGTGCAAAAAAACCTATATTGTCTTTTAATCTAAGATCTAAGTCCTTGAATCTTCCATCTGTACCTCCTCTTCTTGGTTCTGAGAACGAGATGGTGTCTGAATACAAATACTTCACGCTTCTGATTCTGTTTGTTTCACATCCAGCAGTTGGTTATAACACAATGCAAACTTACTCTTGATATAGACTACCACAAAACTTTGAGGTTCACAACAAACTCTTCTTCGTTATTCTGGGTAGCACTCTTGTATTGGATGGTCAGCTTTGTCCTTCTGTGGACAAAACAGTGACATCTTCTCATTTATAAAGCTGTTCTTGGACCTCGCCCTTCATATTTATATTCTCCAAAATTATGTTTGCCCCCAAGTTTTGTTTCTTTAGACTAAACAAAAACACTGACTGAGTCGGGGAGAAAAATAAATGTTTGAATTCATCTTACCAAATACTAGAAAGTATAAACAACTTCTCTTGATGGTTAAGCTGCAAAGAATCAATGTGTATTTTGTTTGATGCTTCTTTTGCTGGTTATGAATAAACTTTTACTGTCTTTGTAGTTCGTTTATTGTGATGTGAAACTTTTTTGTTTTACATGCGTGAATAGTACCGATGTTCTAAGATGCTGGTTGTCTTGACCACAACACCAAAATAGAGAAATAAAAATAGATTTGGTAAATAAACCAAATGAGACCCATCTGGATGCATCTCTGCAAAAGTGTCTTTTTTTTTTTTCTTCTTTTTTTACAGTTCCTACAATCTTACTGCAGTGACAAGCTGCAGGGTTGGGTAAATAAAACAACAAAAACAAAATATTTTTTTCAGTAATGATTGATTTGTATGAGACTCACATCAGAACAAATATGCAAGGGTGTCCTCTGCACTCATTCATTGCACTACTAGAACTAAATTGTGTCAAAACTGGCAATCCTGTTTTTAAAAAACTTACAATTATTGTGTTTTAAATACACAATAAAACAAAGCATATTGATATCTACCAATAACTGCGATAATCACAAACCTGTATGTTGTGACAAATGACTGGAAGTTTTGAAAACATAAACAAGGCTAGCTACAACTAGCATGCTAGCTATCTTTTAGCTTGGCACACTGGGCCGGCTACAGCATTTTGTATGAAAATACATACGGGAATGACAACTATTACATTGCACAACTGTGGAATTGTTTGTTAAAATTAAGCAGCTGCGTCTCACCTTGAATGAAATGTCTAGGTCACAATTTGCACTTGTTCCTATCATCTGTTCCTGCACATCCCGATGGGCTTTTACACTCCACATAGGCAGAGGTTGGTTTACGAAAACGAACATACATAGAGTTCTCTTTTTAAGTCAAATTACGATTATTTTTAGTTTGTCTCAATTTTAAATTATTATGCTTACATTTAAATACTAAAAAAGTTTAAACATATTTTAAGTGAAAGATGTTAGATATAAACTTAATAATCTTTATTCCCCTCTTCTAAAGTGGTTCAGTCCGGTCCGGCAGCCTATCTCTTCCCCCACAAAACGTTCCGCACTGTCAAAAACATGGCGACTGTTCGTGCAGTGTCCTGTCTGCTCTCCAAGAGGGTGTTATCTAGAACAAAAGCTGTAAGTATCGACTACTTTACAAATACACGTTCTGTAGTATTTTTTATCATTATGAACTAAAGTCATGCGTGTAAATGTTGCCCTTTTCTTCACACTAACAGTAGATTGTGTAGGTCGTGGATTTGCGTAACCTGTTATGTAGCAGGAGGCTGTCTCAGTGTGCAGCACCGCTGATCTACTGAAGAAAACATAAATAGTTCTATATCTCACTTTCTTTAATATAACGTGTTTTATAAAACTATATACATTGTATGTAAAGCGTTTTAACCAGTAATCTATGAGGATAATATGTTGGCTGCTGTCCACGTCACACATTTAATATAAATTTACACAATAAAAGTTTTATTTAACAAAGATCCAAATTTCTCACAGATTTTAATTTATTACATGAATGATCTACTGAAGAAAACATTTATAAAAAAGTAATTTTTTTAAAGTGCACATTCATGTCTTAAGTCTTTGGAGTTGGAGTCTTTTTATTATTTAATCTTGTTTTAAACAAAAACTGTCAGAGGTTTTAGTCACATCTTGCACCTGTAATGTTCGTGTCTTTAAATTGGGATTTTTTTTTTATTTTTTAACTAGCATTGTATTTTATGTCTTATTACTGGATGTTTTGTTGTAAATATTTTCATATTACTGTTATTGTTATCAGAGCTGCTGCCTCTCAGCGCGCAGGTCCCTGGTTCAAATCCTGGTCCGGGGGCCTTTCTGGGTGGAGTTTGCATGTTCTCTCTGTGCATACGTGGGTTTTCTCCGGGTACTCCAGTTTCCTCCCACAGATCAAAAACATGCATGTTAGTCTGATTGGTAACTCTAAATTGTCTCTAGGTGTGAGTGAGAGAGTGAATGGTTGTTTGTCTCGTTTGTCTCTATGTGGCCCTGAGATGGACTGGAGACCTGTCCAGCGTGTCCCCCGCCCGCCTCGCACAGTGATTGCTGGACATGGGCACCTGCGACCCCCATGACCCAAAATGGAAGAAGCGGGTAAAAGATAATGGATGGATGGATGTTACTGTTATTAAGACTGTTGCTGTATTTGTAATGGTTTGTTTGCACATTGCCCAAGGACATTCTTGTAAAAGAGATTAATAATCTCAATGGATGGTAAAATAAAGGTTTTATAAAAAGGTATTAGAAATTACCCACTTCTTAGTGATATAAAAAAACCCACATCCTTGAGTTTCAATTTACCTTCACCCCTCTAAGCATAAATGCTACACATTTGAAGCAAATCACTGCAGTTTTGCGTGCACTGTTTTTATTACTTTTATTGATCTTAATGTTTTAACAACTGTTTTTAAGTGTTTAAATGTTCTTGATTTTATATGTACAGCACTTTGTGGCAGCTGTGGTTGTTTTAAAGGGCTTTATAAATAAAGTATTATTATTATTATTATTTTACATTTTTTATTTGAAATGACTGAGTCCATCTTCTCTCATCTTTAAGGTTAATCTGGAAAGTTCTGTGTATACTCAAGAAAACGGGCCTTACGGAGCTGAAGACTTCTTAAAACCAATAGTTCTGCACACAGCACCCTGATGTCCTGTGAGCTCTGGCTTCTTTAAAAATTTGGGAACAGATTAATAATTTAAGATCAGTAAATCCAATAATAAAAAATGACCAACATAATTTAAAAAAAATGGAGACGATCTTTCTCTGACCTATCAAGGTAATCAACGCAGAACTTGGAAGTATTTCTTCAGTACCAGCGATGTAGCTAGTATTAAAGCAAAATGTCAGTTTTCTTGAGTTCACAAAGTACACACAGTTTCTTTTTTTATATTATATACTTTTTACATTCTCATAACATTTAACTTAGAATTAAAAGTTTGATGGTACAATGTGTAAAATGTTGTGAGAATGTTCAACCATTGCATCAACTGTTAACAGTTTTTATGTTAAATTGATTATAGTAAATAATTTCTATGTTGTGGTTTTCTCTAAACAAGAAACTCATTTTGTTTTAGCATCTTAGGTAAAGTTTAAAAGTGACAGAATGGTTCTTGATCTAATCCTCTCCGTAAAGACCAGCTCACACTGAGTAGTTTCTAAAGCCAAACCAACAGAACATGTCACCCTCTGTGAGCCCCATTTTATAAAATTCTGATAGAACTTCCTGTCACATTTTACCATGAACACCGGACTGTACCACAGATATCGGACTGTACCATAAACACCAAACTGAACGACTTCCTGCCTCAGCAGAATCATTTACGCCACAAAGCTGCAACAGAGACATCAGCCCAACATGAAAAAGAAATTGAGCACAGATGTTCATACTTAAATCTTTATATTTGGACTCTTCAGAAGAGAGGGAGGAGGATGGGAAAAGGAAACGGCTGTGGATGATCATGCTGGGAAAAGGATGTCAATATCCAGTTGAGAAAATACTAAATGGGCTGTCGGTGGGCCCGTCAAACTGAACTGAACCTTTATATCAAAGGTTTTCTTACAAATCTGTTTCACAAAATAATTTGTCTGACGATCGAGTCGCTCTCTGAGTGCACCAGGTTAAAAACAAGATAAATAAGCAGTGGTGGTTTGCTGCCTTCATTGTTTCATCTGAGCCCAGAAGTGTAATTGTTCTGTTTGGTTTCTTTGTCAGGTTCCTGCTGCTGCAGTTCAGGGTTCCAGGAACTTTCACTTCTCCATTTATGGCAAGAAGAAAAGTGCCAAAGTGTCAGATGATGTGAGTCCTTCTGTAAGCTGGTCACAAACATTCACACCATTAGGCTTCACTGGCTGGATGTTTATGGTCCCACGCTCTTCATCCTGCAGATACTGATGATGTTTTTAAATTAAAGTGTCACAGAACCTCCCGTCTGTCTGTGATTATCCACAGATCTCCACTCAGTATCCAGTCGTGGATCATGAGTTCGATGCCGTGGTTGTAGGAGCCGGAGGGGCAGGGCTTCGGGCTGCTTTCGGTTTGTCGGAGGCTGGTTTCAACACCGCATGCGTCACCAAACTCTTCCCCACCAGGTCCCATACCGTCGCTGCACAGGTACTAGTTCTCCACGTTCATCTGAGATCATTAATTGGTCTTCTGCATTCATGACCCTTGAATTCAACTCTTTACACAAACGTGTTGTACACAGAACAGTTCTGTTCAGTTTGGTCGAATCTTTTGATATTCTCTGGGTTTGTAGGGAGGGATCAATGCAGCTCTGGGCAACATGGAGCCAGACGACTGGCGGTGGCATTTCTATGACACAGTGAAGGGATCTGATTGGCTCGGAGACCAAGACGCTATCCACTACATGACAGAGCAGGCTCCTGCAGCCGTAGTGGAGGTGAGATCACTCACAGACGAGGGAAAGCTGCTTATTTAGCACCTCACTGTTCGTCAGTCCAGTGGGTGCACACTCAGACCATCTTCTAGTCACAGAGATTTGAAAATCTACAGTTTGGTCATAATTTTATGTTGGTGTTATGTTGTTAAAAGACTCTGTGGTAAATTAGGAGCTCATGTCGCTCTTCTTGTTTCAGCTGGAGAACTTTGGCATGCCGTTCAGCCGCACCGACGACGGGAGGATCTACCAAAGAGCCTTTGGAGGTCAGAGTCTGAAGTATGGAAAGGGAGGCCAGGCTCATCGCTGCTGCTGCGTGGCAGACAGGACCGGACACTCGCTGCTGCACACGCTCTATGGAAGGGTAAGCACTTTTTAATTCCTGCCTCGAGCTCTAGGTTTGAAAACCTTCTGGCTGCGTTTCACTCATCAGTCCTCCCGTTTCGGTTCAGTCACTTCGTTACGACACCAGTTACTTTGTGGAGTACTTCGCTCTGGACTTGTTGATGGAGGACGGCGTGTGTAAAGGAGTGATCGCTCTCTGCATGGAGGATGGCTCTATTCACCGCATCAGAGCCCAGAACACCGTCATTGCCACTGGGTAGGTCGTCCATCAGTTTCAGCTCAGTCAAAGGGAGATAATTATTACCAGACACATTTTTAAAATAAAAATGTGTTGCTAAAGCTGGATAAGAGTTGTGTCTGTTCTCTCAGGGGTTATGGAAGAACCTATTTCAGCTGCACATCGGCCCACACGAGCACAGGAGATGGGACAGCCATGATAACAAGAGCTGGCCTGCCCTGCCAGGATCTGGAGTTTGTGCAGTTTCACCCCACTGGTGAGACTCAACTGTTTGTTGCATCTGAGAGAGTTGTTTTAAAAGAAGGGAGCTTTTCAGCTTCCAGATGTATACTTGGAAGGAAATGTTTAGTTTTCCTAAAGGTAATGTAAAATGTAATGTTTGCATTTTTAACATTTAAACTTGTCTCCTTTGTCCAGACTGAAGTACAGAGCTGAAGAAAGACAACGTAAAACAGTCCCATCATTTAAAGCCTTATTCACTGATTGAAATAAAAGGCTAACATCATTAGAAATAACAAAAGTTTTTCATTCTGTTGAAAAACTGAGTGTAGTTTAGTGAGGAAGATAAAAAGCAGCTTGATAGTTTTTATAATGCAGAGCCTCGTGCCGTCACTGGCTGACGGTCACACACCTTCTGCTCAAAGGTTACCGCAAGATCAGAGTTTAAAAAATAAAGGCAGACACTTTTACTTAAAGAATGTTTTCACATAGCGCCCCCCCCCCCCCTCCCCCGTCTCACAGGTCAGTGTGTTAAATCCATACACATGCAGTTGAAGTCGGGCTGGTTTATAATCTGATCGGTTAAAATGTCCTCTGATCTGTGGCCATGAAGACTAAAGGTCGTCCTCAGTTTTATTTCTGCAGAACATTTGACATCAGTCTTTCTTCTAATGGAGCAAAAAGTCTTGAAGTTTAAAAAGCTCTCTTTCACGTTACTTTATTTTCTTTGTAAATAAATGCAGATTGGCGAATAGAAAAGTTCTGACGGTGTTTCGAGTGTAGCAGGACTGCAGTGTGTGATCTGCAGCTGCTGCTTGGCTTCATTTGATTACTTCAACAGTAATTTTTTATTTTTTCATTTTATTTTCTGTCTGAGCCTGAATATTTAGCTCAGTTTTATGGTTCTTCTAATGTCCGATTTTTCTTTTTGGGGTATACAACTGCTGGTTTTGGATAAATATGCTCATCCCAGTTGGTCCACAAACCAGAGGATTATGTGTGTTAATCTGATTGTAAGGCTTTGATTGAAGGTTGGTGTTGATGAACTTGTGCTTCAGTGCAACAGACTCTATACTGCTCGGTGTTAAACACTTGGGCCTGTTTCTCTGCTCTGCCTGTGAAGCAGAGAGGAGTTATGTCATGTTTCATTCTGAATTCAGCTTTTAAAGCAGGAAAACTTCTCAGAGTTCCTGCTGAGTTGTATTTCAACTAACAGACATGTTTTTATTGTGTGAATCCTGTCAGGGATCTATGGAGCCGGCTGCCTGATCACAGAGGGCTGTCGTGGTGAGGGAGGAATCCTGATCAACAGTGAGGGGGAGCGCTTCATGGAGCGTTACGCACCCAACGCCAAAGACCTGGCCTCCAGAGACGTGGTGTCCCGCTCCATGACAATAGAGATCAGGGAGGGCAGGTACAAACGAATCCTCTTCCTGTGTGTCACCGGATGTTTTTATAGATGAGCTTCTGAATTTGTGTCCTCAACCCCTCAGAGGTGTCGGCCCAGAGAAGGACCACGTGTACCTGCAGCTCCATCATCTGCCCCCCCAGCAGCTCGCTGCAAGGCTGCCTGGGATCTCCGAGACGGCCATGATCTTCGCCGGAGTTGACGTGACTAAAGAGCCCATCCCCGTCCTGCCAACAGTTCACTACAATATGGGAGGAGTACCCACAAACTATAAGGGGCAGGTAGAGCATTTAATCCCACAGACGCCTCAGTCACTGCAGACCTGTCCCAGAAATCGTGTTCAATGTTTTCTACACACCAGGTGATCAATCACACCAACGGCAGGGACAAGGTGGTGCCCGGCCTGTACGCCTGCGGTGAGGCAGCCTCGGCCAGCGTTCATGGAGCCAACAGGCTGGGGGCTAACTCCCTTCTGGACCTGGTGGTGTTCGGGAGAGCCTGCGCCCTCACTATAGCTGAGCTGCACAAACCTGGTGAAGACCTGTTGATGGAACATAAAAGAAACATCACTTTTATACTTTGATGCACAGACCATGTTGGTCTTTGTTTTGATGTCAGATAACAGTTTAACTTCCTTTAGCTCAGTGTTTGGTTTCAGGCAGCTTCACGTCTGACACACGACTGAATACTTTTTGTTCTTAGGAGAGAAACTGTCTCCTCTGAAGCCCAGTGCTGGGGAGGAGTCTGTGGCCAACCTGGATAAGCTGAGGTTTGCTAACGGAAATCTGAGAACCTCTGAGATCAGACTCAACATGCAGAAGGTGAACTGAAACTCTCTGATGTGAGCACAAGTGGTTTTTTATTGGAAAACCAAAACCAAGTCTTTCTTTAATTTGTTCAGAACATGCAGAGCCATGCTGCCGTGTTCCGCACCGGTTCTGTTCTCAAAGAGGGATGTGAGAACATGGTCGACGTCTACCAGAGCATGGAGGACATCAAGACCTTTGACAGAGGTGCTGTACTTTTATTATATCCAAGTCTTGTCACGTGTCTAAACGCTCAAAGTTAATTTTTCTCGTCTCTTGTAGGTATTGTGTGGAACACCGACTTGGTGGAATCGTTGGAACTGCAGAACCTGTTGCTGAACGCCGTCCAAACCATCAATGCAGCCGAGCAAAGAACGGAGAGCAGGGGCGCCCACGCCAGAGAGGACTTCAAAGTTAGAATCATTCATCTATAATTTCTATGCCTTTTTTTTTTTTGTACCTCATGAAGCGCAAAGGGGGAATGGAAATACAGTAGTCCCTCGGTACTTCGCGGTTCGACTTTTGCGGACTCACTCTTTCACAGGTTTTCAACGTATGCTTGTACACAACACACAATTGGCTGGTTGATGGAAGGGGACCAACCAGAACATTTTACTGAGGGCTGGACTGACCGTCGGGAGCACCGGGACATTTCCCGGTGGCCTGGCCCGCTCCCTGAGCAGTAGCAAAGGGGAGAGACAGACCCCACCCTGCCTCCTCCTTTCTCTTTCTGAGGCTGTCGCAGCAGACACACAACAGACAGGCACCTGTTGTGTGTCTGCTGCG